GGGGCGAGGACCCCGCGGTCCCTCCCGCTGCGCATGTCCCGCATGCCGGCCGGTCCCCGAGCGCGCGCTGCCTCCTGCCTCAGCTCTCAGGCTGCGAAGTTGTGCTTTCCGCCGGCTATCCAGTGCCGTGTCTTTCCTATCGTTGTGCTTTTTGGCGGTTTCGCCATTTAAAAGGGCCCCAAGCGCAGGGCCAAGTGCTGTCTAGTGTTCCTAAGCGCAGCAGGGCCCGGCCGGGCCTCGTGGGGAAAGTGCGTGTCTGATTCAGCCGCATTGGCCGTGGGTGCCACCTTAACGAGCCGACGATATAGATCAAGTAAGGTGTCTTTACACACAAAACACACATCGGTTGCCAAGAATGCTGTGACTGGGGGTGCACAGGAACCCCATGTTTCCGCTAGGAGCAGCAGTTCGGTGTTCGCTAGTTCTATAAAGGTGACTAAAGAACGTCTCTACCGTGAACCAGAGCCAGCCGTGTTAATGAGCGGTCTACGCAGGCTTCTGGCGAAAGGGCATCAAGTCGTACCAGCCAGAGGGTGCCTCGCCTCTGCGGCCACTTCATCTTTGAGTAGGATATGTGAATCATTTCTGGCACAGGCGTGGCCTTTCTTTATCCTTATTCCTTTCAAAAGCCTCAGATTTCTACTAGCCTCAACTTTGGATTGATTATGCAAATGACCCAGGTTGTGGGCAGGTGAATAATGGTTTCTATTTGCACTCCTCTGAAAGTACAAAAGAGACTGTTGATAGAAAATATCTGAAGAATGGATCTTCCTGTCTTTTCCCGTCTTAATTAAGGTAGTCATTTTAATACGGAGTTATTGATAATTCCTGGGTTCTTACCTCTTTTGATCCTTTATTTGAAAGTTGAGGACTAACAATTACTTTGTGCCTCAGCCTCCCCATTTGCAGAAGGGAGTAAAAATCTTTGCGTTGTACATCAGCTTTGCGGTGGATCTTACTGAATGTTTGATCATGTGCCAGGTACTGGGCTAAGCACTTTGTATGCGTTATCTCATTTATACTTTTAGATGAAGAATCTAGGATTTAGAGACTTTAGGTAACTTGAGATCACAAGCTCATCAAAATCTAGTAAGTGACAAAGCTGAAGCTCATCTGGGTTGTAGAGACAGTCTGAGGAATAATGACAGAATTCCTGTTTAGCATCCCAAACTTTGCCAAAGATCGAGGTATTCATGAAATTTTGCATGTAATTGTCCTTTAGATTCAAATAAACCTTTAGAACAATCAAGCAACCTGAAGGATGCAGTTCCCTTGGTGCTGCTAAGTTATTTGTCGGAGGAAAAAGTATAATTTTAAGACCTGTATTTTTGTGTATTAAATGCTCAGCTAAATTCTGACTTGAAGGGATTTGTTAAATATGGGTGACTGACCTTAGGGCAACTAATGTCCCATGAAGAAACAAAATCTTTGAATCCCACTAATCAGTCCTTACTATGGAATGTTTACAGTCTCGGACCCCACTGCTGCTCAGGGTTAAAAGGATCTTTGGGGTGGGGCCTGAGCGTTGGGTCTGTTTCCCGAGGTCCCCAGGTGAACCTCATGTGCCACTAGCATTAACAACCACAGCCATATTCCTGCCTCTTCCCCCTGGCCTCCCCTCTATCTGCTTCTCTAACACCCCTATTTTTCACCATCGAGATAACTGATCTATTTTCTTCTTCTAGATTAAAGATTTCTTGAGCTACATCTGCCCTGTAAATGTGTATCCAAATGTCATTCCAATAGGCGCAACAATGGATAAAGTTATAGAAATGTGAGTAGTCACTACGCGTGGCACTTGTGTAGAAGGGAAATACTATTTACTAAACACCTACCAGATGGCAGGTCTCGTGCTAGATCCTTCACATATATTATAACTAAGCCTCAAAACAAACCAGAGAGTAGTTTTGGGCCTGAGAACAGGGTAAGGCTGTAAAGTGGTGGTGGCTGTGAACACATTTCTGGTTGGGAGCGTAATGGCTTTCTGTAATGGGGATGTTATATATGATCCTAAAGACTTTGGACTCTGGCAGAAGCACTTGGCAATGAGGCCCTTGAAAGGGGCAGGATGCCCTCCAATCTTATTTCTGTGCCTTTTTGTATTTTATCTTCACTGGGTCTTAGCTTTTAGCCTCTAGAATGAGGATAAACTTGGTGAGATAAGTAGACCTCATGAAGTAGGGAAGGGGAAGCAGCTAGTATCTTCCTGAATGCCAGAAGGTGTCACTGTTCTACTTAACAGTTTTTTAGAACAGGGACCGGCTTTTCTGCAGTGCAAGAGCAGAATGTTGCTTTCCCTGTCCTACAATTAGTTACCCACAGATTAGTACTTTATTAATATACAGAAATGATTTTTAATGATCAAACACTGCTTTTCAGACTTTAAAAGTGGTGTGATTTCTCCCATGTTCAGGTTTTTATAATCTCTCTAAATGATGCTTAATTACATCCCAGCAGCTTTCCCAGCAGGAAAAATAAAAATTCGTATTCATTTCAGCTTAAAGCCTTTATGCCGATCTTCCCAAAGCATTGAGCCAAAGTATAAACCACTTGGAAAGCTGAAGAGAGCCAGAATGGCCCCGCTGGACTCAGGTAAGAGTGACCTGTGAGTCAGTTGGGTGGGTTTGCTATGTGACCACTTCTCAGGGTGTGCAGGGCCGCTGAAAGCACGTTGGGTCGAGGTGGACCAGGGACCTACTGGCACTCAAGACTTGTTACATGGTCTCAGGAAGTGCTTTGCCTTTTGTCTTCTGCCTGTAAAATCAGTTCAATCGCCTCCACGAGTTTAAAACAAGTGCCTGTACTGAACGGCGTTCCCAGCTTTCTGGAAATAGGCCCCATGGTTTGCACAGGCCATAGGAGAGGCTGTGCTGTTATCCTTGAATATTTCCTTTAAGATGCTGGACAGTGCTGATAATGGGAACTTTCCTTGCCGTGTTCCCCATTGGATTGGTCAGTAGTGCTTATGCAAGTGGACTTTCTCTATACTTTCCTACGTTCTTTCATTGTTCATTTTCCAGGGAAGTGTAGAGAGCAGCTCTGAGGTGGAAATCAGAACTTCAGATTCTGAGCAAAGCTCTGCTGCTCTGTGATTTTGTGGTTAGGATTCTGGATTTTCACTGCTCTGGTGCAGAGCGAGTTACTGTACTATCATCCATGACTAAAGACGTAGATAATACTATTTACTAAACACCTACTGGATGGCAGGTCTTGTGCTAGGTCCTTTACATATATTATAACTAAGCCTCAAAATAAACCTACAAGGGGTTATGAACCCAGTGTTACCAATGAGGAAACTAAAGCTGTTGGGCAATGTTCTATAAATGTCAGTTCAAGTTAGCTGATAATGTTAGTCTTCTATATCCTTGCTGACTTGTTTTGCCTACTTTTCTATCAGTTATTGAGAAAGTTGTTGAAACCTCCATTTATGATTGTGGATTGTCTACTTCTTGCAGTTCTATCACTTTTTGCTTCATCTGTTTGGAGCACTGTTATTGGGTATATACACGTTTGTGTCCTCTTGAGGAACTGACCTGACCCCTTTACCTTTAGGAAATAGATTTTGCATATATGTATGTGTGTGTGTGTATGTGTATACATATGTATAAAATCTCCCTGGTAATATTCTTAGCTTTGAAATCCACTTCATTAAATATTAGTATGGCCACCCCAACTTCTCTGATTAGTGTTAGCATGGTGTATCTTTTTCCATCTTTGTATTTTGAATGTAAGTGCCATATGTACCTACCCAAATGATGCCTGTCATTGATCACGATGTCTTTTTTTGTGATTGGGCCACTAGAGTAAGAATTTTTAAATTATCACTTATTTCCACTTTCTTGCTTTTTGTTCCTTTTAGATTTTGTAGGCATTTTATTCTTTAGTAATATAGCAATTTTTATAGCTTTTAAAATATTTATACAGGTATAGACCTTTCCACCGTCCTGTGTCTCCATTAGACACTTTAGATGGGTTTTGTGAACTGTAGGTATCAAGTTTACCTTAGATCATTCCTGTCATTAACCTCCTGATTCCTATTGTCCTGCGAGTGCTTTAAGGTCTCTGGTGATCCTGCCAGTGTGCAGACCGGTCTGTCAGGTGCTTTAGTTCTTAACACGCTCTGTTGATGCGAATCAGTGTTAAGAGACATGTGGTATTAAATCAGAATCTAAGGGGCAAGTTCAGAAGTCACTCTTCTCTAAGCCTCTTTTAAAAAGCATTTTAATAGAGCTCTTTGTATCCTGATGTTTTATCTTTATATAAGAACCACTATAATAATTCCCACAGACCAATTTCTAAAAATTTCTATTCTTATAAAAGTAATACTCATTGTAGATAATTTAGAAAATAGTTATGTAGACCCCCACAACTCAATTATTTTGATTAGCATTTTTATATTTTTTCCATTCCTTTATATAACCACTGAACTCAGAGGGGGTGATACTGACAATGTTTAAAAAGCAGCATTGTGTAGGCGCCGATGAGAATGACAGTCACTGCAGTGCAAAAGCAGCGTCCCAAAAGCCCTTCAGGTGTCAGTCGGGGGTGGAGTCGGGTGTGCAGAGGCGTGGAGGGGCCCTAAGGAGGTGCCGGGTCGGACCACGGCCTACAGCAGAGGCTGTTTAAGAAGTCCTGGATGCAGATGAGTATCTAAGACTGTAGTTACATTTATACACATGCTTTTAAACTTTTTATTGGAAAATTGTGGTACAAAAATGCCAATTTAATGGCTGCGTACTTTGCATTATGACCAGATAATGGTATATTTAATCTTTGTCATTATACATTCAGGCCTTTTCAGTTTTATAAATATGGTGATGAACACTGTACATAAGTCTTTCATAGTTCTCATTATTATACGTTAAATTTTAGAAATTAAGGTCCCTGCTGCATATTGCCAAATTGTCTTGGATTATACCAGTTTATACAGACATCAACATTGCATGATGGTGGAAGTATCAATGAATTATGACATTTGTCCCCCTCTTTTTCTATGGGGTTTAGGTGTGTTCATAAGTTTGTAAACACTAATGATTTCAACACTCTCATGTTTATTGTGATATTTTCTGAGTTATGTCTTTCCATTTTCATATAAAGAAATTTAAAATTTTTAGTTAATAAAAATACATAATGTCAGGATAACCTTAAAACAGTAGAGAAACTACTTGTTTTTTCAGATACACAAAGGTGAGTTAATGTGAAATTGTTCTGACAGATTATTTTACAGTTGAAGCACACATGACGCAGGTGTAATCACGGATCCAGAGGGACAGGAAACTGTCCACCTTAGAGCTGATACAAACACGTTTCATAGATCAGTCTGGCACACTAGTAGAAGACCTAAAACGAATGTGTAATCAATCCGTGGCTTAGAATAAAGCCGTGTCTTGGAGACTATGATGATTCCAAATATAGCAGCTAAACAACTCAGCCAGCTGAAGTCCTTTAGAAGAGGATAAGTAATTGCTCGTTTAAACAATTATAAATCATAACAGAACACGGGACTTTAAGAACTGAGCATGATTCCTGGCTCTGCCTATGCAGTTTTTTGACCTGTGCATTGTCGCACACCTTCTCCGGGCCTGTCTCCTCATAGGTAAATGGGAGCTGGATAATGGTCTCTAGGGTCTACTTTTTTAGCAGCTTTAAAAAAATGTAGTGGGAAAAGTTACCTTTTTAAGAAGGAGGTAACTGTAAGTTAACACGAGATTCAGCACTAGAACAGTGAGTTGCCATACACAGCAGTCTGGCGAGCATTTAACGTCCTCCTTAGGTTAGGTGCCGGGAGAGGGCAGGAAAATATTTGCTTCCCCCGAGTTCCGTGCCGTATCATTTTAACATATGTAAATCTCTTAAGTTATAAGAATTTCATTCTCCAAGTAAGTTCTCCTCATTTTAAGAATTTAGGTGGACGGGGCTCACTCTATGCTAATATGGCTTAAAAAAAAAAAAAGTGAACTTTGTTGACTTAGTTCTTGACACTAGATGTGGCCATGTAGTATTTCGTCTGTGCGTGTTCCCCCGGTTATCTCGCACAGCCTCGTGCGCTAGCCCGCCCAGGCTTCTGGAGCCCGTACCACCGATTAGGTGGCTGACACACAAGCACTGGCTGCTCGGTTCTGGAGACCGGCAGGTCGGTTCTGGGTGCGGGCCTGCGTCCGGGCTCGTAAGCAGCCGCCTTCTCGCCGTGGGCACAGGCTTTTCCTCAGTGCGTGAGCATGAGAAAGGGTCCGTCTTCCTTTTTTTAATTAATCCCATCATGTGGGTCCCACCTCCAAATACCGTCACATGGGGTACAGAGCTTCAAATTGTGAGTTTTGGGGAGACACCAACATTCAGCTCATAACAAGCACAAAGTGGATAGCAAAATGTTTATAGAGGGAGAACTTTAGAAAAAAATTAACCATTGTCTTTATATTAAATCAACCAACTTGTTGAGCATCTGGTATTTGCAAACCTCTCTTCTAGTCTGGAAGTTCACAAACCTGGCTATGAACAGAATCAGCTGCAGAACTTAAAGCTCAAATCAAATACCGGGTCCCATCTTAAAGGATTCCACAGGTCTGGAATGAGATACAAAGCTCTCCAGACAGTGCAAGTGACCAACCAGGTTTGAGAACCACGGATGCAGGTGTTGTGGCCTTATCTGAGGAACATAGATATAGATTCTCAACTCACTTTCTGATATAAGAAGTCAAAGAATGGTAGTTAAATTGTTCAGAATACCCCAAGAATAAAGGGCCTCTTAATTTCTCTTGGAAAAAGAGTAACTCCCTATTATCTGCAATTCCATGAATTAAAAATGTAGCTCGATGCTACAGACTGGATTTTTAATTAAAAGCATAAATTGGCTCCCTTTGCATTGTTTCTTATAAACCCGTTTTGTTTGTCCCCCAGAGGAGGAGGAAGATGACCTCTTTGACGATCCTCTGCCAGTACCTTTAAGGCACAAGGTTCCAAACCAGCAAACTCTTCACCCTGAGGTATTTCCAATGACTGCAGTATCACAGAACCAGCCTGAAAAACTGATTCAAACCACAGGATGCTTCAAAGTAGAGAGCACGCAAACCTCTCTTTGCACGAACTTTATAGACTGTGAAGAATCCAACAGTGAAAGCGAGGAAGAATTACAAATCCCAGCCTCATCTCAAGGGGATCCTGGTCCTGTCACACATCAGCAAAAGGCTGAAGCGGAAGTACCGCAGTGGGAGGTATTCTTTAAGAGGAATGACGACATCACAGATGATGGTTTAGAAAACTTCCCTTCCTCTACAGAGGCAAGGGGCTCTCAGTCACCAAAGCTTTTCAGTGACTCTGATGGGGAGTCAACTCACATCTCTTCCCAGAATTCCTCTCAGTCCACACACATCTCCGAACAAGGAAGTCAAGGCTGGGACAGCCAATCTGACACTATCTTGTTATCTTCCCAAGAGAGAAACAATGTGGCTATCACCTCCTTGAACAAAGGTGGTTGTAAACCAAGAATCAAAGAGAATATTCCTTCTCAGATGGAACAACATGTACTTTGCCCAAAGGACACTTACTCTGATTTGAAAAGCAGAGATCAAGATGCAAATATAGTTCCTAGTGTTGGAAAACCAACTGTTCTCAGCAGTGGGAAACACATACCTCAGGAAAAAAGGCCGCAAAATCTTAGCGCCAATGCTGATTCACAGAGCTCCTCCGATTTTGAAATTCCCTCAACTCCAGAAGCTGAGCTACCTAAACGAGAGCATTTACGACATTTGTATGAGAAGCTGGCAACAGGTGAGAGTATAGTAGTTGAAAAAAGAAAAAGCTCACTCTTAGATACTTAAGAATTAAAAACTCTTCATTCTAGAGCCACCAACAAACCTATACAAAAAGGTAATAGCCCCAATCATAGTAAATTAAAACGGAACACTCAAAAATACTTATATAACCTAAAAGAAGTCAGTCAAGGGGAAGCAGAGGAACAAAAAGATAGAACTAAATCAAAAAACAATTACATTAAATGAAAATGGTCTAAACACACCAATGAAAAGAAAGCAAAAATAAAATATAACCCAACTACATGCTATCTATAAGAAACTCACCTCACATGGTAAATGTTGGTGAAAGGATGGAAGATAACACCATGTAAATGCTACTTAAAAGAAAGCTGGAGTGGCTATAAAAGGCGTAGTTCCCCAAGACAATCTTAAATGTGCATGGACTTAACAGCAGCTTCAAAACATGCAGGCATAGCTGGGCGATACTGCAGGCTTGGTTCCAGACCGCTGCAGGAAAGCGAGTCACATGAATTCTGTGGTTTCTCAGGGCAAATAAAAGTTATGTTTACACTATATGTAGTCTATTAAGTGTGCAGCAGTACTATATCTAAAAAAAAAAAAATGTACATTCCTTAATTTAAAAATATTTTATTGCTAAAAAAATGCTAACCATCATCTGAGCCTTCAGCAAGTTGTAATCCTTTTCCTGGTGGAGGGTCTTGCCTTGATGTTGATGAAAACGCACTATCTGCAAAGAGCCATGAAATGAAGTATGCCTGTGCAAAGCACAAGCAGCTGAAAGGAGAAAGACAGACTAACGCGTGATTACAGCTGGGGACTTTAACACTGCTCTTTCAGTAACAGAATGAGTTTCTAGAAAATCAGCAAGGATACAGAGGAGCTGAGCAGCACCCATCAACCAGCCGGATCTGACACTCCAGCCAACAACAGCAAAATACACGCTTTGCAAATGCACGTGGCACATTCACCAAGATAGGCATATCTTGGGTCATAAAAGTACCTCAACTTGAAAGAATAAACTTGGGCCTATCAAACTGATGGCCACAGGAAAAGTAAGCCCCCTGCTTACCTCAGAGGATGTTACACTGCTTAAGAATGTTGGTGTGAAGATAGTGGTAAAATTAAAACTAGAAAAATTAGAACCTAAAAGAAAATAATTAAATGGCAAAAGTATAAGTTTCTTTGAGTCAGCTAACTCTCCTAAAGTTCATCAATGGGTTATGCTTTTGCATAGTTATATATGTGGATTTAATAAAATTTCATTAACATTAATAAACACTTTGGTATGCTGACATTTTGTAAAGTGCAAAAGCAGAGATTTCACTTAAAACAAGTGGAGTCTCTAGAACACAATTTGCACATCAAAGTAGCAATGATATTGCATTATCACCCTGCCGCAAGGGAATTACATCAACATTGAGTACTGGATCCACAGGACAAGCCTTAGAGGAAAACAAATAGGGTATTCAAAAGCAGCAATGCCACGATGACCCGATGACCCGGGCAGCCAGCCCTCTGGTTTCTCCAGACGGGAACGTCCCACTCCCAGATGCTGGGAAGAGGACAGTCGCCTCTGTTCATTTACATGAAGGAAAAATGACAGTGAAAACCAGAGTTCACATTTTACTTAAGAACCTGGTGCAAGAGGGATGACATAGCTAAGGGACAGGGCTGAGGTAAGAGCCTGGTGCAACTCATTTCTCACTGCTCTCTGAGAACATGTTGAGTCACAATTCTAGGAAAGTGTCTCTGCCCTAAATTACCAACAGCAAGTTTTATTAATATGTACACAGAGATTGGTCTGAGCAACAGCAAGGTACCTGGGGCAAAGGAACGTAGGGAAGGATACAAGGAGTTTTACGGGAGCGCTGACCCCTGTTCTCTAGCTCAGATGCTGCCTTTGCTCTGGATGGAATACACTCCACAGACTCAGTGGGACGGCAGGATTAGTCACTTTCATTCCATTTGGCCCGTCTCCCCTCTTAGTACTAGTTCATAAAGAACACGTAAAACCACTGGAGAGAAGTAGTAGGTACTGCAAATCACTGGCTGAGTATCTGGTCATAACTAAAATGGGCCCAGAAACCCAGAGACTTCATATTTTATAGCTCTAAAAATAAGTTATACTTCATCACAAATCATATAATCAAATGTAACTATACATTTGTATATTGACTGACACTTAAGAGTTCATCTTAATAGTACAGCTTATGATCCAAGGCAGTGTTCAAAACATGCCTGTAAACATCCTTCCGAAGATATTATTAGTGTTTCACAATCACACCATCAATTTAAGATCACATACTGCCACATTTCCATTGTTTTATATGTGAGTCTGGCTGAAGGAATTTAAGGGCTGGGTACCAGAACAGACTTTTGAGCAAAAGACTTACGGTGATCACCAAAGATGTTAAAGTACAGGCTGACACAGTGACCCCTGAACACTGCGGAGTGAGGGGCCCCCACCACCCATGCAGTCAAAAACACGTGTGTGAATTCAGCTGGTCTTCCACATACTGCATGTGGAAAACAGAGTGACCCTTGAACATGGGTTCAAACTTATGCACGAACTCCTGCAGTTCACGCCCGTGTTGTTCAAGGGCAAACTGTATAAACCTATACTTCGAAACCAGTGTAGGTTTACACTCTGTACTTGAAGTACGAAATAATCATAGCTAATACTTACATACAATGCTCACTCTGTGACAGTGTTGCTTTTTACACACTGTGTATTAACTCCTTTAATCCTCAGCACCTCTGAGGTAGGTAGATGTGCTGTCCCCATTCACGGATCAGGAGGCTGAGGCAGAGTCCATGCTTTTAACCACTACGCATTAAGGCCTCTTGAAAAGAGTAACGGCGGGCATTAGTTATAGTGGCTACTCGATAGTTACTTCAAGAACTGAAGTATAAAAGGAAAAGTGAAAAAAAAGCTTTTCAGAATGCCAAGATATATCACAGCAGAAACCAAGTGGCTAGCCACACTTGCCTGAGAGAGGAATCCAAGACTTAGGAGTTTAATAGTAGAAACCGATTTTTAAAAAAGTCTGCCTGAAGTTGGTTAAATACATTAACAGTCGGGCACTGTCCACTGCCTCCCAGCTGGGCGAGCTTGGCATGTTAATGTCACCAAACAGTCTGAGCCTGCTTCCTTCCGTGCACCATAGGGGTGGGGTGCCAACCTCAGACTTACAAGAAGTGCACGAGTACATGTAAATGCCTAAGACTCGCTCAAAGAAAACTAGTTCTAATTCTAAAATCAATTTGCACTTCTAGGCAGTACTTAGTGAAATATGTTTAAGTACCTGGCAACTAATAATCTCAAAAAATTTTAGAAGTATCCATCCACATTATGCTAAGTGTAAAATTAGACTTTAATATCCAAATGTGTGAATGATGACAGCCAATGAACGTTTTAAAAAGGAAAGTAGCATTTAAAGGAATGGTATATAAACCTTTGGTTAATCTCAACAGCAGGTAGTCAGGAATACATCGGTATTTTTCTGCCCCTTTTATAGCCTTACTGGAAAAGACAGTAAAATATTCATAAACAAAGCTAACCCACAAGAGAAAAATCAAATGCCAAACTAAATTTATTTGCTAAATAACTGTTGAACTTTAAGAAAAATAAGTGCTGTCTGGATTTTGCATATATGGGGGAAAACCCTGAGATTACCAATTGTGTATCAACTGTTTTCGGGAGATACTAAAAACAATGGTTTTTATACAACTTGTACAGTGAGTGGATTACTTTACAGTTTAAACTTGACCTAAATATTATGCTTCAACATTTGCTTTATATTGAGAGAACAAATTCTGACAACTTACAACTTAAAATAGTTAAAGCTCCCAGCAGCTTCGGCTAACTAGTTTCTATTATTTCACTGCTTAAGTTCAGCATTTTAATAACGTGAGGGTAACAGAGGTAATGAAAAGGCCCATTAAATTTCTATTAATAAGGACAAAACAAAACATGCTGAGTGAAAAGAGCTGTTTTCCTTCTGCCTTCTAGTTTTTTCCCATTTTTTAACCCAAAAAGTAGACAAGATCAAGTAAACAGACAATAAAAACCCTGACATTTCAAAAAGAATGTGAAAAGTACATCTTTAAACCTAACTGTGTCAATTATAATTCAAAGTATGCTTGGCCACTAGGAGCAACCTGTACAATCAGTGACGCGCGCTCACTTGATTCCACCGACTTTTTTTCATGAGGAAAACATAAGAAGTGGCACTAAAAAATGCATTTTTTCTTGACACCTGCAAATTTTGGTTAGCAGAGAGACACTGAGGCTCCAAACGTGTAAACAATTTATCCTATGTTAAGAAACAGCAAAGTCATGTAATACTGATATAATAAACTGTAGCTGCTTCCATAAAAGAGGTTAAGGATTAAGAAGATATTTGAAATGCTGCATTCCTGAAATCAGTTCAATTTTACCCAAGCTTCTTTTAGGTCACTAAAGCCTAAGGCAATGAGCTTAGGTAGAACTTAATTAGGAAAACTGAAAGCTAGATTCGTTTGCTGCATTTACCTTTATGTTGGACACCATGATTAGAAATCCCAGAACCAGAAAGAGATGAAAACATAGTTGTTCCCGAGTGAGGTTTTACTATGCAGGAAAACAAACAAACAAAATCAACAGTGAATATATTCCATCTCGGTCTTCATAGTTCAAGTAATAAATGGTCTCATAATTCAGGCACACACTTTGGCCAAGTTTAGTTTTAGCACATTAAAAAAATGTATAAAATAAGTATCAGTTCAAAATATAGACTTTTTTTTTTAAGAAGAGCTGCAGGAAATATAAAAATAATTTGGTGGAAAGGACGTGTTAAAACTGCCTGAAATTAGGAGATGCTCTGTCAGTGTTGTGTAAAGTGTCATGTGAGGCACAGCCGCCCTGGGGCCGTCTTCTGTGCGTCTTGCACCGGAGGTGCTTTCCACGGATCTATCTCCTAATTCACACTCAAAAGGGGCCCCGAGAGCGCCCATGTCTGCGCCTGGTTCCACTGCTGTGTCATTCCCAAGAGGCGTAGTGGCTGGACATTCTAGAATTTGAGTGTTTTGGAGATTTTTCTTCTACAGGATTAAAAACCTTTGAGAATTACTGGTTCAGACATACACCTCTCATAATCGTCTAAATTGCTTCAAATGTGAAATCAAGCTATAATTAAAATTTTTTTCACATGTTAGACCTCCAATTTCTGTATCACTAAGACCCTGCTATTTTAATGAAAAAAGTAGCAGAGTATAATTTACAGTAATAAATAGGGAAACAGGAATGACAATAGCAAAAATAGACCTTTGTATATTTGACTTGCCCAAACTGAATTAACCATTTCTCTAAATTCAAGGTGTTTGGCAAGCTGAATGTTTGATCTTAGCGATTGTGACATTATCATTTTAACACTTAAACACTGAAGGAGGCATTTCTCTGTTCACACACTTGGGTGTGTATATGCTGATTTCTAAATAGTTCCCCTTTGTTTGGTATCTAACCACTACTTAGGTATCATTCAAATTAGTCTATGTGACCCTGTGTTCTTCTCTTTAGAAGGATCAGTAATGCGTTTGGCCAAGAGTCTGAAACATGAATTATAAATTAACATATTGTATAACTTTGATAATGTGAAGTCCCGAATACTTATTTTTAAAAATGGTAACATTAGGAAAAAAACAAAACTACAATTGTCCTCAGCTCTATTTCCTGAAAATTCAGTTGAGGTAACCTCTGCAAGTCACAGCTCCACATTTACACACAGTTCTGACTCTCTTTTTGGCTGGGCTGTAGTCAATAGAATCTGAAGATATATCTCCAGAACCTGAATATGTAGAAAAAGAAATACAGGAGAAAGAGTTAAGACAACTCAGAATGAGTTTCAAATTTTCTATCAGCTTTAAATAAATGTGAATTGTCTTGAAGGGATTATGTGGGCTAATAAAAGGTAAAGTGTATGTTATTAGCCCGTATTTATGAGAATGGATTTCTGAAATGAAACTCGCTGGGAAAATCCAATATATAATCATCAATTTCATTCATTATTTAAGAGCCATAAAGCGAGGTCGAGTAGTAACAATATGTTAAGGGCATCCTACTTACAAAAACAAAGGAAAGACAACATACTGTCACCATAAAGCAAATAGAACTAAATGTGCTTTTTAAAAAAGCCAAATTGAAATAAGTTCATATGTGATATAAATCACATTTTCACATTTTAATGCGTTTGGCCAAGAGTCTGAAACACGAATTACAAATTAACATATTGTATAACTTTTGAATAGTCAATTCCTAGTAGAGATTCAGAAAGCCTACTTTCTGAATCTCTACTAGGAATTTTTAAAATACAAGTAATATTGAGAAAAGATGTTATAATAAATAAGCTCCCATAATGGAAGTTCTGAAAAAAGGAGCTGTCAACGTGATGCACGAGAAGGAACTTTACTCAGCCCAAGGTCAGGCAGACCCGGGCTCTAGTTTTGGCCCCCCACATCAGCTTTGAGACCTTGAGTAAAAGGACAAACTTCAATACCCTCATTTTTTTCATCTTTAATATTAGTTTGTTCAGATGATCTACGGTCTTTTCCTACTCTTGAACAGATTCTTCATGCTGAAACAACTTAACACAAGGAACTGTACTTGAAAACCATACCTTTCATTTGATAATCAAAAGTGAGCTCTTCTCCAGCGTTTATGGTTCTTGTGGAAAATAATGCTATTCGGGGAAGACGAGTATCAAGGTTATCAATGAAAACATTGAACACCTGAAGATTTGGGTCACACTAAAAAAGAACATTAGAACCCATTTAAGTAAAAACGACGTGAACATGCCATATAAAATCTTTAATTTCCCAGAGTATTAGCTTTTAAAATGTACTGGAAATTGAGTTGATTATTTAGAGGTCTCTGAGGCATGCACATTTAAAAATGCTGTTTTCACTTATGGGAAATTTCAGACATACATAAAACTCGAGAAAATAATAAAATAAATCCACATGAATGTACTAAGCAGCTTCAACAACAGTTAACGTATTTGCCAATCTTTTTCCAGCTAGTCCTGACTTTTTAATTTTTCTAGATAAATTTACTGTAAATCCCAGATAACATTATCATTTCACTTGTAAATATTTCAATAAGGCTATTTAAAGAATTAGAACAAGTACATTTAAAAAATCAAGTTGTAGAACTGTAGAATTCAAATTTCATATTGTATGGAGTTTCATGGCTTAAACTTTTGTTTGGAATTGTCTGACATGTTGAGAACTCTAAATTCTGGAATATGCAAGAAGAATGATCCAGTGAGTCATATTAAGAAATCAAAATAAGTGTTTAATTGTCCTTGAATATAATACATATATTTTGAAAGTATCTCCAATTATTAAGAAAAAATTAAAGTAAAAGTTTAAATCAGAAAACGAATAAGGCAGTCAGAAAGTCTCTGACATTTCACTACTAATCATAAATTAGTTTCTTGGTACAAAATCTATCAAAAGTTTAACATGGTCTACTTCCTCATATGGTCAGCTATGTAACTTACTCTCTAAGACACATTTAGTTGGAATCTATAAAATGGAGACGATGTCAATCTCACAAACCTAACACTGTGTAACCTACCTGGGACCTGGTAGGCACCAATAACTGTAAACCTCACTTATTTTGGACACTAGTTTTTAGAGGATAAGATTCTAGACTTAAGGTTCCAGCTGTATTCTAAATCCTTCTCAAACACAAATGAAGAATGCTAACTTATAGTTTAGAAAAATAACCCTAAGTACACTTCAATACTCTACAAATTCTTAAATTTTATAAAAATGTAACGTTTACATTTTCGGAGAATATAGCTATCTTTAGTTGTGTTTCCTAAAATTTAGCTGTGTTAACTTCTGTAAGGAACCTATAAAGTTGTGTGTTTCTTAAATTTCTATTTTCTACTGCTTAACTCCTGTGCTCGTTAATTCCTCCCTCTACATAAGTATAATACCTATTTTAAAAGTTGCTGGAAAATTTAAATGAAGTAACATAGGTAAAGACTCTTGCACAACGCACGGTATATGGTGGGCACCTCAACAGACTGTCCAGCTAGAGCAATGACACCGTGACTTAAACGGAAGAGGTCCTCGTACTAAAACCTTTGGAAATATTAAAAGGGCGCATAGTTTAAAGATAATCATTTCCTCAACTATGGAAAATCATTAAACATAGTACTAATTATGCCTGTCTATACTTTAGGTATTTCTTACACTGTGATTCACAAAATGAGACACATTTCCGTATCGAGCTGCATCCACTGTGAACTCATCAGATTCATAGTCCAAATCAAAGAGATACGTGATCCCTCTGTGGTCATATAACTGGCCCCGTCTTTCGGCTTCTTCACTTGTGATTACCTAAAAAGAAAAACTATAGTCTATTATATAGCTATTGCTGAACTGAAGAAACACTCATCCAGAAATCTATTCATATATTAATGCCTACAAATGTTTAAAAAGAAATTAAAGAGTCATCAGAAACATTCACAAACAACTCTAAAAGCGCTAAACTGAAAGAGGGACGCAAAGGAGAAAAGATGGTGCAAAAGCATCATGACTGTTCGAATTCAACTTGAATTTGGTAACTCGAATTGAAACCATGTGCTTCTTTCATCCCAATTAACTACAATGTGCAAAAGGCTACAAACCTATAGCTCTCTGTAGGATATAACAATGTAACGACCTAAATTTACGAGCACATATGCTCTAAAGGCATGTGTTTTTAGATCTGATTTTCTTCTTAGAGATTTTGTGTAAAAACTGTCATATCTTTAAATTTACAAATGCCGGTTTCATTAACTATATATAAATGGGTGTTTGTTGAAAGATGACTATTTCGTTTGTCAGTATATATGTTGTTTCGAGTTTATATGTCTATGCTAGTGAACCCTTCTCTCAAACCTAGAATTTCTACATATTTTCAAATGATATCAAATGTACAAAATATTTGTGAGTTGAAAAGCATAAACCATTCTTGCACATTATTTGCTGTGGTAAGTGGAACGTACCTCCCCAACATACTCCATGACAAAACTCATCCTTTTAATCTTCACAAGGGTTTTTACACCCCAGCCACAGCCATTGCTAGTTCGAAAGATGCAAAGTGAATACTGTGTGCCTTTTTGTACAATCCTATTGGGACAATCGGGTCCACACTGACATCTTGAGTTGCACTCATAAATGGGGGTACCGGGTGGGATTTTAATCTGCTGGCTTTTGTTATAAGCCAAAAGAACTCCAGCTTCAGCGGGACAACATTTCTCAAAGAAGCAATCTGTGCACGAACAACCAAAGGTGGCTTCGTTCACTAGGCTGATTCCGGGAGTGGGTTTGTATTCATTAATGTAGCAGAAGTCTGAAGGTGGGCCCTCTAAGTCAACAGTATTTTCAACAAAAATCATTCCTTTATGGTTTTTTCTTCTGTTGAGTTCATCTTGCCATCTCTGCAGAGCTATCCTTTGTTTAGCCTTCTTTACAATGTATTCAGCAATGGCAGGCTTCAATGCTTTGTTATTGTTTTTGAGAGTTATTGCTTTGCCTTTCTTTACCTGAGATAGATAAATATGCTTGTCATTAGAGAACTGCTGAAGTAGTAATGGGCACTTGAGATTCTGCAAAGGTTCCCAAGTATTTGTAGAATCTGGCCATCCTTTCCATTTTACAAGATAATATTCCATATCCTTAAAATATAAAAGAAAATGCAAATCAGATTATGACAGTCCCAATTATTTAAAATAATATTGTAAAGAGGAAGGTATCCATTATTACTTTTCTTAATAAAGTTCAGAAGATATAGTCAGATTTCTAGCAGATGGAATACAAATAAAAAAATGAAACTTTTGATTTATATTGCATAAAATATATATAGAATTTAGAATTTAGATGTGGCAGAACATGCCTGACCACAAGCAAAAGAGTTGCGCCTACGGAAAGGTAAAAGTACTGAAATGCACGAAGATTTTACCAAATGGTGAATGAGTTACACAAAAAAGTACTTATCTTGATCATGCAAACAGGGAGTCCCAAAACCAACAATTTACGACCTGGGTTAGTGGCTTACTTGGCCACCAAAGATGCAGGCATCCTTTAATATTTACACTAGATACGAAGGAAGTTCTATTTTTTCAATGTCATGGGCACACACTCCCTAGATGCTCTAGAGATACATTGTGCAATACAGTCATTTGCAGCCACAGGTGGCCACTAGGCATCTGAAATGCGGCTAGTCCAAATTTAGATATGCTTTAAGTGTAATGTGCCTGAATTTCAGACTTGGCACAAAAAAATTTAACTTTTGAAAAAATACTGTTGAAATAAGAGTTTGGATTTACTAGATTGAATATGTCACTGAAAACATTTTCACTTGTTTCTTTTTACTTTAATGTGGTTACTAGAAAATTTAAAATTATACATCTGTAGATCCTATTACATTTCTATCGGACAGCGTGATCCCAGAGAATTCTTACCTTATTTAGACTCAATCATGACTGGATTAAGTAGCAGGCATTCAAGCCACCAAGGATCAAATATTTTGATTTACCCCTCAACTGCTGCTGGCCACCATGGTACCTGGAATCCTGTCTTCCTAGCCCAGTGATTCGACTAGATTTTTCTTCCCTAAAGTTAGGCCATGCCATTTTAAGTTTCTCTTTAAAAAGGTAGTCAAGAGTGTATAATAAAAAATCTTTTGAAGTAAAATCAATTTTTTTCTTTATCTTCTAGAATAACTAACATACACCATGTGCCCTCAGGTAAATGCCTTTTGAAATATGGAAGTGATTAAGCTGCATTCTATAGTTTTTAGTTACCATTTTAATTCATAGATATTGATGAAAAGCTTAACTGGGATACATGTGCTTTTCCCTGAAAATTTTAATAAAGTTTTTACTGTAAAGTAAGGATGTCCATGATAGCTGTTTTAGCATTCATACTGAATGCCACGTGACCCGTAAGGCCTAGGGCCGCGCTGAGCGGCACAGACTGGGCTGAAGAGCACTGAGCCAGCTTTGCAGGACAGGAGTATGTCACCCAGTTAGTGAGTGAGCTCTTCCCCCACTGTCTGCATCTCAATGTTTTATTATATTTCTATTCAATAAACAGTAATGCTTGTCAATTAAAAGAACTTTGTTTCTTTATAAAAATGATCAAAATGAGTTTTCTCTGTTAAAAAAAAATGGTTAAACTGTAGTGTGAGGATATGCACAAAAACTGTACTTCCAAAGAAATATCTACTGTGATTCCAGGGGAAAAAAGCCTACACATGTGTCTACGTGTTAGTCAAACTGGCTCACTACGATGAAATGTGGACTTCTCCCCCATCAGGTAACTACTACAATTTGAGACTGTTGTTAGCAGATGTCTGCCCAACAATAAGGAGATCCACTTGGCAGTATTTTACATGTCTACTTCCCTTAATTAGAAAAATTTTAAAATTTTCTGACTCCAGAATAAAGCAATGAATGCACCCTTGCTCTTTTATTTTTAGGCCACAATATTTCCTACTATTGTCCTGAGTTATGTCAAAAGTTGCCAGCAAACAATGAAAGAAACAGGAACACTGGCTTCAAGTCAGATGATCAAGCCAAATTAACATTCAGCAAACCTAAAACACCACGCATTAACGTTTGCTTCCAAAATAATGTACTGACTAATGATGAGTCACTTCCATTTTTAGTGACTAAGTTTGGATTTAATCACATTGATACCCACTTAATTTTTGGATGGTAAAGATGCTTATAAAACATGTGGCAAAACAGTATAGAAATATTAGTAATGTTTTATTTCTACTTTGTAGAAGTCTTTTATTTCATACCCGTATTTTACTTTTAAAATCCAAAAATGGCATTTCCATTTTGAAAAATAATTTTAAATGGAAAAAAGTTTGACTTAAGAAACAAATTCAATATCCTAATTCGATATCCTAAAATTCCAAATAAAAGCCAACAAGTTCATAAACCTCATATATTATATCAGTATCTTATTCTGATATGCAATCAACTCTTGATTACTCACAGAAATGGAGTACAGTCATAAAAATGACCCATAAATTACTCCAGTATAACTTGAAATGCATCATATGAGTTTTTCAATAGACATTTTCCCCCACTATGTTTGCCTTAGGTTAAACTAATTCAACCATTTATTATCTATAATAAGTATATGAAAGTTCAGTCAGCAGAGGGTGTGATGAAATGTAAGGTAATTCTAATACTAGCCTTTAGGAGTAAAATCTCACTGGGAAAGAGGGCAGTAATATATAAACTAAGTAGCAATGCAAGACAGTACAATTTTAAATGCCGAAACAAGATAACAAATACCACTAGAACATAGAGGGAAATAAATCTAGGTCAATCAGAAAAGGGCACAGAGGCGGCAGAACGAACTTCACTAGGAAAGGCTGATAGGATTTGTTGCGTAGGGAACGGGCAGGCAGGATGGAAACCACGAGCAAAGCCTGGAGCTGAGATTTGCATGAAATACCTAGAAAACAGCGAAGAGATGGATTCAGCTAGCTTTGAAGTTCCGATACTGAAGTGAGAGAGAAAACCGCAATAGCAAGGCAAGAGCAAATCACACACAGCCTTGAACACCTGACTAAGGCATCTGCGCTTTACCGCAGAACAATGGTTCTTAGAAATCATGGTGTTTTATTCCATCTTGTTTATCGGGTTCTTAGAAATCATGGTGTTTAATTCCATCTTGTTTATCAGGAACAATTTTACCAATTTCCTAATTGCCAAGCCAGTGACTCTTGAGTCATCTGACTTGACCACTCCTCAGGCCTGACACCACGCTTCTCTCTATATCCTTGTTCTTCTTCTGCCTTCTTGGCCGAGACCCTGACCCCAGTCCATCACTTAAAAACAATGCAGATCCTAAGGGCTCTGTCCTTGGCCCCTTTTCACACGAAACAAGTGTTTGTCCCTTCTGAGAATCTGAAGAAAGCTATGGACCTTTACCTAGTGGAAGTTACATATATAATATTTTGGGTGATTTCAGGATATTTGGATTCCGAGTTAAGAATTCCTGCTCTGAATGCTCTCCCTGGGCAACTTCATGGCTCCGGTGGCTTTAGTTATATGCTGACGACTCCCAAAATGTTATCGGCAACCCCGTGTGCCCTATCGCCTGCCGGACATCCAACAGGTGCCTAAACCAATCCACCCACATGGAACTTAGCACTGCTCTAACTACATGGGTTTTTCTGTTCTGTAGTCCCCACTGAGAGGAATCTGACCCATCCACCTAGTCACACAAGTCGCAAACCGGGGGGGTCAGTATCGATTCTTTTCTCCTCCTCAATCCAATCCGACGTCAAGTTTTTCAAGATACTCGTTCCAGCCAATCTGTTACCTACAGTTACTTCAGATCTTCAATTCTTCAATTCTAATTCAATTCTTGCCTAGATTATTGCATTTCATCTCCTGGCTGGTTTCTCTGCCTCCAGACACACCAATCTACTCCTCTTTATTAAAGTATAGAATTTTCTTAAAAAAACAAAAATCCACTGTACCAGTCATTCTACTGTCCTCGACTGGGTCCGCGATGCCTCTGCCTCCACCTTCCATGGTGGCCCCATCACTCACAGCCCTCTGGCCACAGAGGGCCACGGTTGGCCCTGCAACACGACAGGCTTTTTCACACCTTTCTGCTGCTTTGGCACAAAGTTCTCTCTAAACAGAATGGTCTCTTCTCTTTTCCTAGTGAACACTTGCTTATTTCAGTCTCATCTTTTTTTACATGTAGAAAAACCTACTCATCTTTAATTCAGCTCGAAGTCTTTCCTGCCTCTCTTGATAAGGGAGGACTGTTCACTGCTGGCCCCTTTGCGTTCCTATTTCTAATCTAAACTGTAAGTCATGTGTAGGGAGGAATGGAATCTTATCCTTTGTAGCCCAGAACCAAGCACAACCGCCTACTACATCTTAGGCTTCGACTAAATATTTCTGAACGTATAATAAAAAATATGACTACCAACATATGCATGCAATATAAAAATCACAACGGTAATTATATGAATCCTTAAAAGAAATAAAGCTGTTAAACTTAACCTGGAGATAGTAATTCATGATTTTTCAATATCTGTTCTCTCATCTTCAATAAATGGAAGCAAGCACAAAAACTTCCCGTTTGCTAATTTTTCCTACGAGTTTTAAAATAACCATCGTATTTAATATGAGTGGTAGAATAGCCCAAATCTGATTATTAAGACACCAGTGTTCCATGGAAGCACAGCTCATGACAATGACATGATCACTGGAAAGTCACTGGATTTCCAATGCCAGTACCTGGCGGAGAGTAGGAACTGTGAGACCTGGGTTAGAGGCCCAAGACCGACACGAAGGAGCAACATGACCCTGGATGAGTGCTTTCGTGGAGCTCTGTTTTCCTGATCTCTAAAACTTGAGTTTTAGTCTAATGATTTCTATGTTATTCCAGTTCTTAACAAGCCACCCTAAGCGCAGTCTCTCAGGAACATCGATCTATTGTTGGACATGAAATATTCTGGTGGCATGTGCCTCACGGTGTGCTGGTGGTTCTAGAGACACAGAATTATTACCTGGATGCTCGAAGGGAAAGCTTTGGGTAATATTTCTTAATATCTGCTTACTAAGGGGGAAGTCCCCACCAATGTGCCTAGGGGTTCTGGTTCTTCACTGATGAGCTAAGTGTGTTAATG